ATATTGTTTATTAGTTTGCGTGGATTTCCGATGAAAGTGCGGATTAAATTGGTACAGAAACTCGTCGATTATCGAAAGGGTTATAAAGATAAAGATAAACGTCTAGTGGGTAGTGCTCTTACAAAAGTTGGAAAAAAACATGAAATCGTTTATCTACCGATAGAACGACGCGGGGCACGATGCACAAGAAGATTGGACATCTCGGTAGAGTTAGAGGTATAATAATTTGTTCAAGTACTACACGAAGTCCCGCAGAGAAACGGAAAAGTTTCAAGAATCATAAAAGAAGAACGTGCTCCCTTTTGTGTGGAATGTTTGTTCGAAGCCATAATTGGTTCGCGTGCTAAATCCCACAACGAAAGAAATTTTCACATCATTTATTAATATATAATCTTTGGTTTTAATTGGAATAGCAAGCGTAGCTCTATTTAATGAGTTATCCCTCCCTGTCTCTTTCTCTCTTTCTCCATTTATTCAAAATACTGCTCTTACTTTTCATGTTAACATTGTATTCCAATCAAAGAGTTAGAAGGTATATTGCCTCTTTATATGCGTGTACATACCGTTACGCGAATCTAATGGTTAAAAGCTTTCCACGGAAACGCATTTCAATCGAATTGTTGACGATATGCTCCAGGCAATCTGAATCTCGAGCGTACCGAGAAATCCGGTTGAGCGGGCACGTATATATCTCGCAATTTCGTTTCTAGTGGCCCACTTTTATGTACTCGTGATTTATGGTTTGTATTTTTTCCCCGACATTCTCGTTAAACGTACGCGACTCCTACGCACGAGAAATATGTGAAATTAGGAGCGATAACGTATATTACAGCATGTAGAATATTCGCCTTAATTTTTCTCATACTGCGTATTCATTCGCGAAATGTTAAAATTTGTATGACATAATTTTCTTGCCCTCGAGAGTAGGAGAAAATGGATTATAGTAGTAAAAGAACTTCCATAATCACTCAAGAGTCTTTATTTGTCAACTTTCCCGATTAATTCTGACTTTTCGCGTTTAAATCCCGTGAAATTTTGTCGTTTAAAATCCTCTCCAGATTATTAATTTAATTAATGCCGGTATCAGAAAGATAGCGCGATCGTTTCAACGTTCGTAAAGAGATTTTAATGCCTCAGACAGATCGTATTTGAACGTTTATATGTCAAGATTGACGGAGAGTTTTATCTGCGATTTATATTCCTTATATTATACACGTACTAATTTGCGCTAAATAAAATTGACGTTATTACATACTAAAATGCGCACTAAATAAAAGTGAATTTCTGATGTAAATCGTAGCATTATCTCCAACGCTAACAACGAAATAGATAAAGCTCCAATTGGTATAATCAATTTTGCAGCAGCTTTTCAAGCGTTCATTAATCCCCGATATCCGATCGAGCATCAATCATCTCTCAACGATGATCAGTCGAAAGAACGATAGTCGTTGTTAACGCTTCGCAAACGTTAACGGCGCGTGTTGCCAACGAGATGATGGCGAAGATATCAGTAACGAATCTGGGTTAACGATCAGACGGACACGAGGCCGCGGAGAAGACTCGGAGAAATTTCTCAGGGAAGATGAGAGTAATGGACGAAGGATAAGACTAGGTGCGAAAGAGAGAAAGGAGCAGCTCCCGAGGCCAAAAATTAAACGACCGAGGGTTCGATTACAGCAGCACGTTCTCCATTCGAAAAGCCATCCACCGTTTTCGCCAACCAGCTTCGTCGTTACTCGAACAAAAGACACAAAGTCACGCTAGAATCTCATGCCGAAGCATGAAACGATGAGACGAGTCCTTATTGATCTCGTACACTGATCGATACCGATTCTTATCGAATTGCAAAAGTTTCGCGCGACGAAAAATCGCTAATCAGCTGTCGCGATTTTTGCTCCTTTTCTCTCGATGATACACATATCTAGAAACATCGCGTGATATGCATTTTATTTCCTTTTAATTTTTTATCGTATTACACATAATCTTTGCGAGGTTTGCAACCATCGGTATTTGCAACATTTCGTTAACCGTGTAGCTAATACGTATCTCTCTGGAGTTTGTTGCAATCTGTGCACAAGCACACATTAAATACGATCCCCGGCGCGCTATTAAATGCTGCACGCGCCTTCATCAGCTGTCTGAACAGATGGATGAGCACGAAGGAACCCGGGAGAGTTGCCAACGTATCCACGTGCTCCATCGTGATGAGATCTGATTGAAATACAACGTGACTGCGTTTCGCAGCTCGTATTAAGGACGAATGTGGATACGAAATATTTCTTAAGAAATAATTTTCTTCGTGTCTCTCTCTCTTCTCGCCACAAAATTAACCGCGATACATATAATATATAAAAATATACATTGAGAAAAAAATCTGGTTTGCATTAATTAGATTTCTGGTAGATTCAATCAGTATGTCTGTTGGAAAATGGACGAATCAGAATTCTTGTAGGAACCAGATGAATCTGATTAATTTCTTCCTGTTAAATTTATCAAATTTTCTGGTTAATAATACTAAACTCTCCAGCACCAAGTCGTCTACAATTGTTTTCATCTAATCTCAAAAGTCTGTTTAATATTCTGAACTCCAACACGATTATTGCATAAATTCAATTCAGATTATTGAATAAATTATTTTAAGTTCAGTTTATTAGAAATTAAACTGATAAATAGTGATGCAAGAAGAGGATGCAGCTCAAACACACACAATCAAAGAGCTAGCATCCTCTTTCTGGCACTACTGCTCGTAAGAGAAAAAAAATATACTTTGGATTTAATGTTAATACTAGTTCTTTATACACATTTTATGGCAAATATTGAATACCAGTTAAGTTAAGAGTAGTTCGCTGCCTAGCGACACAAGCAAAGAAATTAATGTAACAAGAAATTTTATAGATCCAACCAGAAAATACTAACCAAATCCTTATAATAAAATCTATTAAACGTTCTAGTTATAAAAAATCGAGTCTTATCATGATAACTAGAAATTCTTGTTTGATTTAACCAAAATACCTTCAATCATATACGTCTTGTTGGTATAATCAAACGATTTTCCTCAGTGTATATTTGTCTATTTATTTACCTTATCGTGCATATTTTTATATCTCAAATATGTCTCCTTGCAAATATATATATATATCTCGAATCCGTGCGATTTCAAATAATAAGTGCTAAAATATTCCGAGAAATTTCTTCGCAAAAAAGCAACATTCTTTTTAATTTATGGCAGTTGCGTTATTCATGAGAGGTTAAACATTTAATGAATATTTATTTGAATGTTATTGAGAAACAAGAAGGAAGGAGCTATGCCTCTTGGAAAAATCTGCATTTTGTATCGTCGCAGATTGTTTCTCGAGACAACCGAGCCGCCGGGTGTTCCTTCTTTTGTAGAAATTACAACATAGACTGCGAGAAAATTTATTTTTGTAATCTCAGAGCCACGTTGCCGGCTCGGTTTTTCCACCAACCAAGATCTCCCGTTATATGACGACGGAGAATGCTGCGTATAAGTCGCGTTTACGGTACTAAATTTAATACGTTCGCCGACTCACCCGCTATTAAGCACTGCACGTGTCTTCATCTGCCTTAACCGAAGGAACAGAAGAGGCGCGTATAACGCGAGGATAACGATGGCGCACAGGGGAGAGATGAAATATAGCAGTACGGTATTATTATATATATATGGCAATGTTCATTTGCGGTTAATTAAGATTTAACAATTCTCACGGTACATTCAGCTAATCGAGGAGCCCATTTCTTTCACCCTCGTTTAAGTCGCAGGAAACCACATTTTTTTACATTTCACATAATGTCTCTTCCCTAAAGAATCGCACGACTGATGCATACGCGATTTACAGCACAAGGGAAATTATAAAATATATATTTCTTTTTTTTCTCTGTCATGTGCGCCAACTCGAGACGGACAGTTTGCAACGAGAAAGCTACGGCTAGGATTCGAGTATGCGCGGAAGCTGCGAGCAAAAAGGAATACGACAAAACCGCTTCGCATACCACGAGACTCAGCGTGTGCATCTTTCAAAGACGCGGGTTCGCGACCGTGCTACGAGCGTGGGTAAAAAGTCGCAAGCGCGGGGAAAAAAAAGGAGCGTGGGTAAAACTCCCGGCGAAATAATTTATGACGAAGACGGCGACGATCCTTACGAATCCCGGATTTCCAATTAACGTTCGTTAATTAATTAACGTTCCGGTAAATTCGACGATCCAATTCGTTACCCTGAAGATTCGATGTTTCACTAATTGCACAGCAACCGAAACCTCGCGGACGAGAGCCGAAGACGTTGATTATCGACGCCACAAATCGCAAGATCGGAGAGGCTTTTACGATTCTTCCTCTCCCCCGCTTCTCTCGCCGCGGAAACATGGCGTAATCGGGCATCCTCGGCCCTTCTTTAATCCCGGCGATGATTAAATAAACCGTGAGGAGAGGCGCGGAACGCGGAATATTGGTCGCGAGCAAGAAGCCGCCGGTGCATCCGGCGAATTCGCGGCAAAAAGTCGAGTCGAAGACCTGCGGAAAGACAGGCGGCGGCGCCGGCCTGTATTAACGGCAGGAATGCGGTTCGATTTTTGCGCTGTTCGCGCGCTCGACTGGTGCACGCATATGCGCGATGACGTGCATACCTGTCGGCTCTCTTGTTGCCGGCCACTTTGCACGAGGTGGAGAAATAAATATCTCGCCGCTTCCTTTTTTTTTCTCCGCTCGCGAACCGGCCGGCCTTCCGTTCGCTTCGCGTCTCGATATCGAACGCGGGTGCGAAAGGTCCCGCGATTTTATTTCGCATTTTTAATATCGATTCCAAAAGCCGCCTGACGGCCGCGCACGTGCGATATATTTTATTATGCGGAATAATATCCGACCGCGGAAATGAAAATTCAATTCTTTTAAATTGTTAAAAGATGGATGATCGAGAGATATTATCGCCACGTGTTGGCACGTCATGTTCTCGCTTTTGAAAATTAATCGCATGGTTTTATTGCAGGGAACATCAGGACCAAGGCGGTACTTGACGTCGAGACAAAGAGGGGATACTGGTTGACGGTCTATGCTCAGGATCATGGAGTGGTCCCGCTGAGCTCCAGTCTGCAAGTAAGTGTTTCGACGTTTCATAAGTTTCTGAGATTTTTAGAAAAAATTGCGAACCCTATTTTTATACTAGAAATTAACGCTGTCATTTATACTCGATGAGCTATGACTATTATCTGTTTCCATTTCGATTTTACAATGTCCTTTTTCGTATTCCTTAAGCAATAAATCTCATAAATAGCTGTGTAAATAGCACAAATCTAAAAGAAATATTACAAGTAAAAAATTTTTAATATGTAAAAATTGTTCAAATGATACAAATCTAATGAGAAGTAAAGGAAGGCTAGGAACCAAAAACGCAGGTAATGTGATAATAATAATATATTATGATAGAAACTTTATAAAGTTATTCCATTTACATACAATAAAAAGCGCAAAAATATATTTAAAGTATGCTGTCGACGATGTTTCAATCCTGCTCTAGGTTCTTTTCAAAATCAAATGGGAAAATATAATATTATTTAAATCAGCTAACTGAATAATAAAAGAAAGAAATTAATTATGTGTGTATGTGTTTCCAAAGTTTCTACACAGAGAAAAATGTATACTGTATTCAAGTAAATATTATTTATTTTAAGTATATCATAAGTTTGTATATCCGCAAATATATCATAAGTTTGCCACAAGCATTAAACTTAATTGAATATATTCTGAATTTTAGTAAGTGCAGTATTTTAGTCAAGAATATTAAATTAAAACAAAAATTTAGTTTGCTTACTACAAGAGTTGACGTAAAGTAAGTTTGATGAAGAAAACTATTACTTTGATGAAGAAAATTATAACTTTGTTGAAGAAAACTATTACTTAAAAAAAGAAAAATTAATTGAGTAATCGCTTTTCTTGGCAGTAGAATGATATTTTTCTCTGTGTATCATAATATATTATTACTATCACGCGCCATTACCTGCGTCTTTGATCCCCCCTAGCCCTCTTTTACCTCTTATTAAAAATATGATATGCGCGATAAAATAGAGCTAGTGTAAAAAAGAACGCTTGCCTCCTCCCCCTGGATTTTGTCATGGTAATGATAAAAGATATAAATAAACGTCGCGATTGTTTGACCTTTTTACGTCCGCGAAATATAAATTTCGCGCACAGTTTTATTTAGCGAATGATTAATAGACGACGTGCTCTCCGTGCGTGTGCAGGTCTACGTCGAGGTGCTGGACGAGAACGATAACACGCCGCTGACCGAACTTCCGGTCTACTATCCCTCGGTGCCGGAGAACTCGCCCGCCGGCGTAAGCGTCCTGCAGATCCGCGCCTTTGATCGCGACGTCTCGCCCCAGCAATTCGTCTTCACCATCAGCAGCGGCAATCCGGAGGGTTATTTTCTCATCAACTCCACCACCGGTAAGTCCCCCGAGCTCGGAGCGCTTCGTATCGCATCAGCGGTGAAATAATACGGTCTCGCGGCAAGATCGGGATGACGGGTCTTTAGCCACACCCGGTAGCAGCCGGTAATGAGCTCAATTTTGCCGGACGGGAGTTTTAATAGATCCGTTACGCGGAACCGGGAGATTGGTTGCTTCCGTGTGAAAGGAGTCTCGGTTGAATCTTCATCTTCGTTACCGGCCATCCAATCGAAGGATAGGTCGAGATATCGATTCCTCGCGAATGACCCAGCGAATACGTATCACCGATGGTTCCCGCGCTGTTGCGAACGTAGGGCAGAAAATTATAAATGTTTTCGACAGAGAGAGGAGCGCGCCGATCCATCTTTATTCCGTTGACGTGCCTCACGGACGAGACGTAATAATGCATTCCGTCGATATATAGGCGCGTCTAAAGATACGTTGTTCTTGCCTCACCTGGCCGTGCATGCAAATTCAAGTGATCGAACGTCAATCCATATTCATCAGTCCCTTTATCGTTTCGCTTAGCGTTTCTGCTCGCGTGAGACGCTCGGGAATTATAAAACGATGAGAGTGCCTATCTCGCAAGCTCGTTAGATTTAGGACAGCGTCGGCTTTGTAACTTTAGAACCTGCATAAATAACAAAACAAGCAGTTACATTGTTTAATGTGACGAAATAATATATGACTCCCAAACAGGCAGAAACTAAAAGTAACGCGCAGCGGACGAAATTTAAATTTTTCAATGCTCGAAGCTTACGTAAAGAGAGATAAAATAATAAAATTAGTGATGAAATAAAGATTTTAAATCGATAAAAAAAACGCTGAGAAAGAAAAAGAGAGAGAAGTAGTTTATTAAAATAGAGATATTAATTCCCTTTATGTAAAGTTCAAATCTGAACTCGTCGAGATGATACCGATTTCTGCTGGCGTCCAGCCAGTCATTTTTCGCAAACAACGGACAGAGTCTACATTCTTCGAAAGCCGTTTACGATCGATATTAGTACGCAAAATGAGAGTCAGTTATATCGGGGGATACTTCAACAATAGAAAAAGTCAGCCAACATTTGATTTATATTCATCGTCGTCGGCCAATCCTGGAAACTTCCACTTCGCCAGCTGGCCAATCCCTTTTGCGCGCAAAACTTTTAATGTGCGGGATTGTGCAAAACTTGGCCCGGCTCGTCGTCGCGTATTTCACACACGAGGAAAAAAATCGGACAAGTATTGGGCGGAAACTGTGTTTTAAAGGGGGATGAAACACGGCTCGATATACGTATCGTGTTCACTGTTGACTATACGTCAAATGAAAATATTTGATGATAAATACAAGTACGTAATCAATACGTATCGGTTACAAATACCAATCGGATTATCATCGATCAAATAACGCTTATGCGCGAGTCGCATATTTTCGACACAGCTATTATCGAGCCATTGTCGCGAAAAGTAAAAATGCATATACGCCGATAATTATTTTTTGCTCTCGAATTTTTTTCTTTTTATTTATATAAAACAAATGGAAAAATATATGAAAAATCATCAATATTTTATTCCTCTTTGTTACATTGTATATTTATGTTACATCGAAAATATTTGAATATTCTCTTATATATATTAATTTATAGAATATTTTTTAGCATTTTATATATTGTTTTCGAATTATAGATTATAATATAGATTTAAAAGAGTATCATTACTGATACCTTGCCTTTTTTGATGTATAACATTATGTTTATAATCTGTTTATTTCACATATTATTGTGCATATAAAATTATTATTATCAAAATAAACACGTCTATATATAAAATAAACCAAATATTAGTGAAATCGAACTGTTAAACAATGAAAGTATAGATATATCTCGTGGGTTTGATGTTGTATATCGGAAACTATTAACTCGTATCTCGGATTTTATCCCAGCGGCGATGCCACTCCAGCAACAGTAATTAGCGCGCGTAGTGCAACGAGTAGATAGCTTCCAAATTTCATGTAACATCGGCTAAATTGGTTTCCGCCGATCCCGAAGAAAAAGTATCGTCGACTTTTTTGCGGATCGATCCGGGCATGGCCTTTTTTTCGCGCGGAATTATTATAGACGCGTTGTCGTTTATCGATGTCGCTTGATTTTTGCGACAAGTGATGTCGCGACTGATTGCAATTATCTGTTTTTAGGCATTACATTATTCGATTAAATTAAAATTATAATAATTTATATCTGTGTTACTTTTACCTCCGCGCGATGTATCGCCAGCTGTTTCTCTCGGCAAACACATAGGTTCGTATTTACTCGGTATTATTCGCTTTGTCGGGAGTCCATGTGTGTAATAGAACGATCGCGATTTTTCTTAATGACGGTATTATACGATAGCTCGGAGTCTCACGGTGAAGTCAGACAAACTACTGGACATGCGATATTCCTCGTAAGACCTAGGCTTGCATTTTTCAAAGTCCCTTTCGGATTTAGTTACACTGTATCTCCAGCTAAGTCGGTAAATTCACGTGATCCGGCAAACTAGATAGTTAATTATATGCAATTTTAATTTCCGATCGACATAAATAAAAATTTCTTCCCGTACGTAATACTAATTTTAAACTTTATGACAAAATTCCATCGTAAATATCCACGCGAGGATTATTGATAGTATAAAATAGACCTGAGTAACGCATTTTATTTCTATATCCGTGACACCAGCAATGTAATACGAAACTGATGGCCAATCACGACAATGTGCATTTTTGCATACGCCGTTCGCTAGAACAAGTTACGGCTCGAGTTATGCTATAACGCATAATCTTGCAATTAAACGGGTAATTATCGTATTATAAAGGCGCGGCCAGAGTGGAATTCGAAACCTCCGGTTAGTCTAACATAAGAAGAGGGCATCTCTATGCGCGTTTTGTTTAGAGACTTTGATTATTCTCTTCCAAAGAGATCTAATAATTAACACAATATTAATTAATTTCTTTTCTTAATTTCTCCCACTCGGTTAAAGGCAGGAATAGGAAATAATAGGAACTGCAAAATAACGATTCTAATTAATTCCGTCATGCACGTTTCCTGCCTTTTATCTTTGATTTTAAATCGAGTCTTTTATTTATGTTTGAATCTATCCTAGGTTTATTTTAAACGAGTCGTTTTTGCTGAAGCACGGCGTGTCGCGCGACTTAATTGTAACATTGTTTCGCTGCTTTTATTGGAAGATCTTTGCCGTAAAAGCGTATACCGCCTTTTTGCCAGGGAACAGCGGCCCCAGCCGAGAGCTCGTTTCCGCAATTAAATCACCGGGTCACTCGATTAATGCATCCCCTCGCTGTCGCCTACGCGCGGTCATCTCTTTTTCATCCGCGCGCGCATTCCTCATCCGCGGCATCTGTCATCTGCGACCGCCCTTCGATCAATTTTCGCAAACGCTCGATAACAAGCAAGGAGACCGAGAGATTTTTTTTTTTTTTAATTTCTCAGAACCCGCCGCGCGAGAAAGGGGCGATGTCGATGGAAAAGTCAGTCTGCAAAAAGCTACTTTATCATGCGCCCTAGAATGCACGCTGGAATAATGCGTCACGGTATATCGCATGCACGTGCTTTATGATTACACACCGTCGTTCCCCTCCGCCCTCTTTAACATTATTATGCGGCGCGAGGCGGTGTGTTGTTTTATGATCTAAGATCCATAGCCTGGTGCAGAAAAAAGTTTCATAGATGTAAGAGAGTCACGTGTTGCGTTAAAAAGACAATTAACATCCTCCCTGAATTCCGAATGAGAAATGTCCGAGTTTTTTTTTTACGATTTAGTTAGAAAAGCAGCAGCCTCGCATGTTTATGCTTCTCGTAACAGGATCTTTCAGAGCGTAACGCGACACGTGAGGAGGTTCGGGCATATCTCAGGTGTTAACCGGTGCATTCGCACGCGGGTCTCTCCTGTTATAGGGGGCACGTAGCGTAAGATACGGCGATGCTGGAGAACAATGGTGGTGTTATACGGCAGTACGAAATTAGATTAGATAGATCTTGGTCGAGTAATACGACCTCGCCCGCGGGAACGAGCTTACACGAGCGAATAGCACGTTGCCATCGTAAGCGTTACACGACCCCCGTGTAACTAATCGCGCGGTTAATCGCGCTTTTGGCGCGTAACACGCGTTACCACCGCAAAAATACGTTTTCCTTCTTCCCTTTATCCCTTTCTCCTCTCCTGTTCGTTTGTTATATAACGAGCAAATAGGGCATAAAACGCGATATTAATTAAATCCACTGAGCTTTGATGACCCGTGCTTCGCGAGTCGCTTTTAAAAATCCCAGGCTTTTGTTAAACGGTCCTACGTATATATCCGACTAATTTTATTAATTACGTGAAAAATGGGAAAATGTGAGGTTTTATTTCACGGATATACGTCGCTGATTGCTCGACGTGTTATTGTTATAAATGATCGCGATTTAATTCGATTAACGCGTCTCGATGTTTTAATAAAAGCAGAGCGAAACTGGCAAGATTGTCAAAATATCAAAATATTTTTTCTCGCTTTTGTGATTTCACATGTATTATTTTAACGTAATGGAATCTATATTTATAAGTATAAATGAATATGTCATCGACAAGTCACGACTTTTAAAAAAATCGCTCAGACGATGCTGACTGAGTTAATCAACCCTTTGACTTTTATTCGTACCATAAAAAGCAATTTCTTTAATAGAGGCGTGAGACCCATCAGGCAAATTTCATATTACATTCGATAATGCGCCTCGTAAAAGACAGATAATCTTGGTTTGTCATAAGGGAATAATTCCGATAAAACTTTCTCTCGACGAGCGATCTTTTAAGCGGAAGTTGCCCCAGAAGCCGTTAGCTCCCGGCAGCATTTTTCATTATCATCATAAAATATTACTCCGTCGAGCGTTCCATGGTGCTTCAAGAAAAACATCCTCGCGTAACGTCCATTGGGACTCGCGCGCTCAGGAGAAAATAAATCCATCGTTACGCTTGTCGAAATCCTCATTTAATGTCGCAGTATCTGCCATAATATGTTGTCCACGTCGCGGGTAGTATCGTAAATAATTTCGCCTGATCCCGGACTCTGATTTCCGATAACGAATTTCCCATTCCGGGCTTATTCGCGGTCAAATATACGCTGCTGCTGCAATAATAACGCAACCCTCGCGCACATGTACACGCGTGCGCGAGGGTGTGTGCATTCCTGCTAGGTCGAGGCCGAACCCTCGGGTCGACCGGTCGTCCAGGGGGTAAGGAACGAAAACGAAAAGCAATTATTTAAATGCGTTGAGGGTCGGTTATATGCTCGCGGCACGATCGAACGCTATTTCCCTCAATTCCCCCTTTTTCCCTGTCCATCGCGGCACTTCCGCCTCCGGTCTTCGTTCCCCTTTTCTCATACTTTTTATTTAGAAATAAAAAGAAATGTGTGCCCGTTCAAAAGTCGACTACGTCGATAAAATTCGAGAGAAAAAGGATCGAGCAATCAATCAGTTCGCACGAAATGAAATCGAATTCGATTAAATGATGATGAAGATTAGATTCGAGATGATTCATATTGGCGTTTCCGCATTTTCATTCTATCGTGGCTCTAATAACGATGCGCTCCTACCCCTATGCGCGCCGATGGGGGTGATTTGGCCCGACGAAAACGCGGAACTAGTTTGTTTTAATGGTAGTGCTTCGTATCAGTTGTACGAGTTCGGATTCACGCCACGCTGATATGATAACGGGTAACGCTGCAAAGCAAAAGTTACGAGAGCCAGCAGCACACCGCCTTGTCGACGGATCGTGGCTCCGAGCGAAACGACAACGGCTTCCTTGTAACTCGATTAGCGGCTCGCGGTGTAATGTAAAATCTAGGCCGTCACCGGAAGCCGTAAGACTATAATGCAAAAAAGCCGCTCGGCCTTTACACAACGCGGTTGCGCTCTCGCTATTCATGGCTTCCCTTTTTTGTTTGACGGTGTCGCTTTGTTGAAACGTCGCGCTTGCATCTCTGCGGAGGCTTCACACGCTCAACTCACCTACCGTAGACTAGCTCCATATCGTATTTATGTCTTTCTAAAAATACTTGTTTGTATTTCCACAATTAATCGTGCGTAGAAACACGTTTTATTTCGCCAAATTTTGAATAGATTCGCGAGCGCTCGTTCTTGTTTGATTAGTTTCACGTGGAACACGTAGTAAATTGAAACAATTGTTCTCCAACGTCAATAACTTCCGCGAATTTTTGCGCAATTGAGCGAAATTTTCGAGCGAAATCCACATCCATGATAAAAGGGATGTACGTCCGTGCGCCGTTAATATAAAGCTCGGTATCGCAGTGGTTGAACAAGGCAAGAAGCATCATGTGGCAAAATCCGAACGCTATAATTTCGTCGAGTCCGTTTCATCGGACCGATCTTTGTCTCGATAATAGTGGTGGTCCCTCCTATTTCGCCCACAATTCGAGACTCGTACTATTCCTGTTTTATCGAGGGGAAAGTCATCGTGCAAAATACCACGTTTTATTATCCTATACCGTAATAGATATCTCGTTTTCGATCGTTATTTATCGCGCTATTAATGATCGGACATTTTGCTAATCGCTATTGCATTCATTGTTGCAGGTCTCATTACCACTAGTGGCAGAAAGCTGGATCGCGAGAATCAAGCGGAACATGTATTGGAGGTAAGTCAACAGAAAAATTAAATTTCACGTTTCTTTTAAAATTCTCCGACAGCGAGATGTAATTGAATAAACTAAAAGTACGAGTAAATTTAAGAGAATGTAACGAATTCGAAACGCATCGCGTCTTTGCAATTGACAACGGTTTAATCGTTAGAGCAAATCGTATTCTCTAATGGCGCGCTAATGCCAAAAGCTGATAGATAGATAGATTAGTGTGCCTCCTTTTCGTCCATCCATTCGTATTCCATTTCTCGACGATACTGTCGACAAAGTTCCAGAACTGCCTTCTCTCTTCACTCCAACCACGCTCCCTCAATATTGTCAGAGTGGAAATGAGGAAGAAAATCGCATCTTTCGTGAGATTGAAAAGTAAAATGAGGAAAATCTGCTGCCTCCAACGATAAAAGCGAGAAGGCTAACTTGAGAGTGAGAAAAGGGGTATGAACGAGGAGAGCGAGAGAGTCTGGAAAACGAATGGATGGCTTGGGACAACGACGGGCAGAAAGAAGGGCGAAGATGCAGGAGAAGGCGGGGGAAGGTAGAAAGAGGAGGCTTTGGATGGAACAGGGTTGAAAAGGTACAGTGGTCTCCGCGCTAAGATGGTGGAAGAAAAAGGGTCATGGGGTGAGACACGGCAGAGGCGAGACATTTCTCCGGGGAAAGTCGTCGGAGCCTTTCGGAGAATTTCTACCTGCATCGGGATTAAAGAAGGAGCTCGCGCGATAGTCTCACATCGTGTACGGCGGTAGACACTGAAATTTCCAGAACGATAAAAGCAGGAACAGATCGATGCCAATTTCACGAAGAGGCTTCTTCCGCGGCTTTAGAACCGAGGTGAATGCGATTGATAGGGTAAACGGTCCTTAACCTTACTCATGTCTTCCTTCTACTGCCTCCGTTACTACCATTTTAAAAATTTAAACGTAATTGATTCATTCACGTAATTATTTCTAATCCGAAGCAGAATTTTCTAACATTATAATTAATTAAGATTGATTTGGTTTAAGACAGTGATGGAAAGAAAGAGGAGTAGGAGGAAGAAAAGGAAGATTTTTGCATGTAACAAGATTAAAAGTCTAGTGTCCAAGAAGGTAGAAAAAAAAAAGAATTATAAAATGAAAGAAAGGTGAGATAGATTAAACTTGACATCAACGAATGAGTGTAACTGAGCGAAACGGGAGACGCATCGTGTATATAACAATGTCGTCCTGTAAGTTTTAAAGATTTACGAACATGTGGGTCTCGCGCAGTTTCACCTTGATCGCGAAACTTGCAATACGTGCATCTCTCTGCATATTATACCGGCTCTATTGCAGTTTCTAACAAACTTATACCAACGTGTTACTTGTCTGATACCACTTTGGCGTTGTCGCATTTAGGAAAGTTTTGCAAATAAAATCACTGGTAAAGCTTCTTAGCTTCGTTCTATTTCTAGAAAAAAAGAAACCATGATATTTTCCATATTTTCTTTCAAAATAACAAAAAGTGCATTATAATCTAAGTATATATTTCTTTCTAGTTTTTCATAAAATTTCTTAAGAATCGCAATTTGCAGATTTTGTTATAATATTCGCGAAATTATGATCATATCTTAATAACAAATTTGCAATAAAGCAATTTTTACAGTAATTTATGCGTTATTTTGAACCGCGTGCAAAAGTATCTTATTTATTCAGAATTAAAATGGTTTTAATGCGATAAAATCGTATCAAGTAATGTTAAAAAAAAAAGTGCATGGACCATTACGGTGGCAAAGTGTTTCATAATTAACATGAGCATATGCTCGCCCTAAATTAAATTGCGCGTTATCGGTTTTAATGGCCATGTTCTCGTTCGTTCGCACGTTGGGTGCAATTTAAATTTTCAGCACCCCCATCGAGCCAACGAATTAAATGCATTTTATGGCAACACTATGATATCGAAAATCAAAGCGAATCCTGTATCTTTCTTGTATTTTTAAAATTAATATTTAGTATATTCTACAGTATTTATTACATTGCAATATATGACAAAATTGTTTGAAGTTTTGATATCATTTACGGATATTATTTAAAATTTTTTTTGAAACTGTCAAGGTTTAAATTGAATTGAGTGCTCCTGACCTTACACTAAAAACTATCTAGATGTCATTAGACGTGATAGCAGCACGTCTGATGACATCTAGATAGTTTTTAGTATGTTTTTTACCACAGTATTATAAAGTATCTGAACCGCGTGCTACAGAATATGACATATATATATTACACAATATATATCTATATAGAATATTGGAATGTATTTTCATATAATAAAATATAATCAAAAGGTAATATAAAAGCTAATATAAAACGTGCTTTGAAATAAAAACAAATGACATTTCCCACAAAATATATAATAGACAGACTGAAAGACTGTGACATTTAAGCTTGCCTCGTATAGATCTGATTTCATTAGACATCATTACAGGAATTTTCCGACGACTCCATTTCGTGTCGCGACCAGGAAATCACTTTAAGAGGCTTTGATCCTACGATGCGGGTTGTTAACAGCGTGTTTGTGTTCGTAACCGAGTTAAATGAGTCTCGGCTCTAGAAACAAGAGTTCGTGAAAACGATCGCCTCCCCCGTGGCATCTCCTTGCCGCTTTCTTGCGGGGAAACTTGCGCAATTCATTTCACAAAGTCTTCCCGCCGCGAATAATTAATGAGTGTACAGAGTGCTTTCTTTTATCATAATCTTTAGCGATTATGCCTTGATTATCAATCGCACGGATTAAATTGGTTATTCAGCGACTTATTCTATTGAGCGCGTAATACGGAGGACAAATTTATGAAATTGACAAGTAGCGGAGGGAACCTCCCCCCAAATAATATTCTCGAATTATAAAATTCACGTAAAAGGTAGAAAGTTATGCGCGTCACGTAATAGCAACCTAGCAACTATATATAAGTCGGGGGATTTTATTTCTCCATTGATATTCCATGCATTCAGTTTAAAGGGGACGCATGGAATATATCCGATCCTCTCTTTCCCTATACTAGTTAAAAATCTGTTTTATTTTCGAATAGCATCTATCGCATCGTCACTGCAACCATGTTGGTTCAAGGATCGGCGAAATTGATATCGGCTGAAATAGCGTTATTGGCAGCACGCGCATCTAAACGGGGCATATATCCCGTAGATTCCGCGCTTTTCGATCGTTAGACTTCCTTTTTATTGCGCACCCGTTCGCTCGCCAAACTCGTTTATCTGTCATCGATATGCCGCTTAACCGATATGTATAACCGATGTCAAAGGGCGGCGGACGCCGGTATATTTCGGCATGAAAGGTCGGCCGTTTACGTTTGCGCAACCCGTTTATGCGAGATGCGACCGGGATGACCGCGTGCGTCCTCCTTTTTCATAATTCCACGCATAATTTACGGGTCTCTACTGCATTCTCATGGTTGTGCCCTGTCACGAAGAGACATTTTTTTCACTACCCGAGAGCGTATCTCGCGTCGCCAGGCGCCTCTTTTACATGCCGTATAATTCGCAGAGCGTTCGATAAATCTAAAACATCGACAATGTCAATGTTTCGCTTTCGATGGAGTTCACGTAACGACAATGGATCGCGTCGTGTTCCTTTGCTTTTATAATTTATTGTCCTTACCTCCTCCCACAAACATCCCTATCCTTTCTGGAGGCCTGTCCTATTTAGGGTCCATCCGTCACTGCTATTTGGTACAGGGGATTTTAGTATGTACTAGAGGGATTTTGGGGAATGTGGTCACTCTATGGCGTTGTGCCGTTTCTTATGAAAGGCGGAAGCCAGCATACCGTGCACGCGAATATTTCTACCGGTACTTATTTGGTCAGCGAGCGAACTTTTCAAGGATCCTCCATGGCAATCGGCATTGCATCCATCGAACAAGATACCTCTACAACATTGCTCTGGAGTCGCATATCACTGTTGAAAAGCAGTATTAGCAGATGCGGTCTGGATAGTTCAGTGGTCTAGAGCAGTTGCTTCGGATTCGATTCCCGATTCAACCACTTGCACCTCATACATTTTTCTAGTCCGCGAATATTGTTTTCTAGCAATTATTCCTGAAAAATGTGTGAATGCTCTCTCCACAGGACATGCGTCAATGCCGTTGCCATGGATGGATTCTGTCGCTCATTGATCAAATGGACATGTCCGACCTCCTCCCATATACATTCCTATCTCTTCTGGATTTTATTTTGTATGCATGTAGTTTCCTCAATTTCTTATTATTTTTTATGATTTACTTCATATTTCTTATCACAATATAATTTTATTTTGGATCGCTTACAAGATAAAAATTTAAATTTTAACTTGTGAGCAATCCAAAATAAAACAAATACATATGCTTAGTACTGTTAAAGAGCTTTCGACGTAGCCATTATCTGTTACTGACATAACATCGAATCGACTGATGCTTTTTTGCGATGACCTTTTGTTGTAAAGATGCGCTTTAGGCGCTCCTTCTAATATTCAAAGTAAGCCAGAAAATTGCTTACTACCGTAGAACAGACAGTCGACTCTCTACTAAGTACTGCTTCAAGTATCGGCTTGAGAGTATTTCATCGAAATTTATGATCGACCGGGCGTACTTGAATGCAAATCGAAGTCGCCGACAGATAATCCATGAGAAAGAGCACGTAAGAATCAATTTTCAGCTCACGTGCCACTCTTATAGACGCAGCAAATTTTTTATTTAATTTCCCATTTCTACCTGCCTTTTAAAACAGGGCTATAAAAGGGGAATTCGAATGGTAAATAAAGAGTTATTTAAAAATGTTATGATAGATTTTTATGTCTACAGAATCTCTCTATTAGATGCATTAATTTAATGCAATTATTTCTGTCTTCTTGCCCCGAATTATTTTTGAAGAAAGTCTTTTTATTTCATCAAATATGAAAATTCGGCTTCCATCGATTTCCGAATTTTTACCCCTTCTTCTCCGCTTCTCTTTAAAAGTACTTCGCGATCGATAACGTCCTGTCTCTCGACGAAA